GATTGGCCACCGTGCGGGCCAACTAAGAAATGGAAAATACAGTACAAACGCGCAGAAGTCGAGTGAAGCGTACAAGTAAACCCCTGAGACTTTTCAGTAATCGGGCACGACTCATAAAAAACCTTCCACTCCCAGGGCACGGCAATAGGTACCAGACTGTCTGGAAGGACAAGAACAGTGAACTGTACTTGGCCTGCCCCTCGCAGGCCAATTGTAAGGGCCAGAACGCATTCAATAAGCCACTACGACTCTGAGTTGAAGTAGAATGCGTGCCGCATCTAGGGCACGTCCTACGTTGGGGAATCCCCTCAGCGAGGGAGGGGCGTACTTGGTCGCTGGAGAAGGGGGGGGGGGAAGGGATCGGATCTGGTCTGAGAAATTTTTCTTTATAGTCGATTTTCTTCTGTTTCACGGGCGCTATTACATCATTATAGGAAGGTCCAATCTTTGCGGAATGCGGGGGACTTTTGCGATTTCCCGTTTCACTCGACAACCCCCCCCTCCAGCTCAACGGCAAAATTTTCGGGGAAATACGAAAACTTTTGAAAAATTGAGAGGCGAGATAGCAAGGAATTTTCCCCAGCGGCAGAAACGTGCCTTGGCCGCATCCCAAAAGTGCACTGTCAACGGAGGAGGGTTTATTCTTTTACATTTTATTTCCGGTCAGGACCTCATTTTATAACAATCCATCTGACAACATTGTTTTCCTGAGTGTGCTCTTGGAATTCGTCCGCTAAAATCTCCAAATTCTATATGGTGCGGGGTTTGCTCAAAAATTATCGATCAGCTTGAAGGCGGCATAAAAGCTGCCTAACGATGTGAAGCGGGCTACGAATGAGTTGTTGGAAGAAGAAGAGCGAGGGCGAGGGCGAGCATGACGACGGCGAAGATAAGCTGCGCGATGTTGAATCTATTTGGAACACGACATCGTCAAGTCAAACAACAGACACAATTCACTCACACTTCCAGCTCTACCATAACCGTATTGCTTATCCGGACCACAACCAGCGGCAGTAAAATTCGACAAATCAAAAGCGGCATGGCTGAAAAAAGACGTAATTTCCATATAAAAAATCTGAAAACGAGGGGGATCACGTACCAAGACATCATCATCCGCAATATTGCTATTATTGTCGTTCTCACCGCATTCCCTCGTTCCGTTTGTATCGCTGTACTTTTTCAGGTACTCGTCCAACTAAAGCAGTACGACAGCAGGTGAATGACGCATAAACAACTGGTATAAACAAAGATAGAAGCAGAATTCGATCGAATCCCACCTGTTTCACATACGGTTGCCACGATTTCTCATCCCTCATATTGTACTTGATGAGGGTTGAATCGGGATTTTCCTTCAGCCATGGCTGGTAGCCGACACCTGCAGGAAAACACAGACTTTCCAAGTGTATAATGAAGACAATGAAGTTTCACACTCAGAAAAGGAAATGAATCCAGGCGCTGTTCGGTTCGGGAGGGGCACTTAGCATTTTCGCTACTTCATTTTGCTTGTTCATTAAACTGACAGTCTCATTTCGGTGAGACCTGTACGTGTGAAGCTGCGAAATAATACAGGTGAGCCATCTTCATTGAGGGAATGGTGCGAGATGACCTACAAAAATGCAAAAAATCGCATGAGAAGGGTAGTGTGGACCATAGTGGACAAACCTGCGCAAATTCGCGGTGAAAAGTTGCAAGGCAAAGAAGTTGAGACCCAAAGTTGCTCAGTGACACCTCCCCCTCTCCAGTGACTCCGCCTCCAGACTCCGCCTACAAAGTCTGCCTCCCAGCCAAAGGCAATGCTATCGGAGATGTGGCATGGAGTGGATGCTCCACTTTCCCTTATGGAGTCAAAGGGTTTATTACAAATAATCAGGCCAGTGACTCCTCTGAGCACGAAGTCATTCGGTCCCTTACCAGTGCGATTGTTTGAGGCTGGAGGAGTTCTACTAAAAGCGTTTCCAAGGTTCCCATCGGCATTTTCTTTTCACAGACAAGTCAGTTGACAACCCTCTTCCATGTTTCACCACCATTACCCACATTATTTGTCGCGGAGCGTGGCTTCACTGAGTACCATTTGGTGCCCCCTCCAAGCCGCACTGTGCTAATTTCATAGCCCTGTGTCGAAAATAATTGTGCACTTGTCAAACTGTCACAAGCAAATATTCCCTTCCCATCCAAAGCTGCAACACAGATACGCTTAGCTATTTGCATGTATTTCCACGAAATCCACAATTAAACAGCAGTATCAGGAAATCTATTAGGCGTTCCCGATTTATAAGTCATTAAAAAACGCTAAAAGGGTAGTTCTGAAGTCGTTGACGCAAATAATAGCCATCGAATTGCTTCTATTGATTCATACTGATGCCCCTTCATGGAAGGCAATTCATCAAATTCAAAATCACTAAAACGACCATGTTGAACGGCAATATGGTGACAATGATATACACCATTCAATAATACTTTGTTTCACATGAAAATGAATGTTAATTATTCCCCGGTGAGAAACAGGCTCCTTACTGAGATCACATTTCTGGAAGTATGTGAACGGCTTCTTCAACACTTACAAGTACTAATGAGTGCTGTGGGATTTGTGAACTCCAACAAGAGCTTTAGCTCAGCATTGGAGGAACTTCCCTGAAATCACGGCACGTCTTGTTGCTAAGGGAAGTATTTGCAAAATACGAGCCCCTCCCCCGAATTTTCTCCACTAGTACGACTCCCTTCTATAACCGAACGACCATCTTACAGTCTTCCCAGCTTCCTACCACTACTGGAACTATTCAATTTTTCCCCAACATTCTGGCGAAATTCTGCCTTCCGAGCGAGGGAGGTCGCCATTACACAGCTACTTATTCCTAGAGACAGCGCACGTGAAGCAGGGAAAAACTGTTTTCAAAAAAGTTTCCTATGGCCACACGCCGCCTCTCCTTCCTCCAGAGGCCAAACACGACACCCTCCCCCTCCCGTTGGGGTTTCCTCAGCCTATAACGTGCCCTGCCTAAAGTATTACTGGCACATCACTCTATTACAGTATTGAGATGTGAGCCCGACGTTCGCCTTCATTTCACGGAAATTTCATGTGCATGTTTCATGAACCCTCACGTCCCCATAGTACCAGTATTTGATAAAGTTTAGGCGTTACATGTGTGTTATATACCCTGAGATTGATTCGCACTTTTCTCAGAAAACGGGTAATGGCGCGTGAACATGCCCACGAGTCTATATGTGTGTGAATTATTTCTCCACCTGAACTAGTCGCATTACCCGAGTAACTTTCTCTCAGCCCATCACGAGGTTTTAATATTGAAATATCTAAGTGCAATGGCGGCTTGGCACATATTTGTTCGTACACCAACCAACTTGCGGGCGGTATTTCGATCGTTGCTTGCAAAAGCGCCGTTGTGTGGCCGTCGACAGATGATAACGGTGGCGACTGGGAAAAGCGCGTACACCTCGTCGGCCGTGCCAGAGCAGGCTCTGCGCGATGCAGGCGCCATCGTACATTTGCGCTGCAGCTCAATCTACGCGAGCAGCGAACAAAAACTCAGCTCAACCCGGTCGAGAATCGATTCGTGACGTTGACGATGTCGACGAGTGGACCGCAACAGCCCAATTCAAGCCCGAATTCTCGCCGGGCGTTTTCCATTATCAGAACGACGACGACGGCGGACGACGACGACACGTCCACAGCAGTAGCTGCAGCAGCCACAACAGCAGCAGCAGCCGCTGGCTGGGCTGGGCTGGCAGCGCCACTGTCGACCGATGACGCACAATTGGCGCGACGCGTCCCTGCTTACGCCAGAAACGCCGCGCTTCAAGTGACGAACGTGATTCGAGGCGCATTGACGATGTGACGTCTGCACATGCACATACGCACATAAGAGATGTCGTCAAGGAAAACTAGCCATTCATCTGTAAAACACCACCAAAATATTTCCAGTGCAGAAATCGCTGTCAACTCAATCAATCCCCAAGCCAAAACATGTTCCAGCGCATTCAGGAGTTGAGAACTACTGCACAAAGAATACACTTCATTGAACAGTTCGTAGGTCACTTCATATAACAGTCACTGCAGTTTTTCATTGTGAACGCTGGCAAGGAGTTCGACCTTGAACTATCTGGCCTGACAACTAGTGGCAGGACTGCCTAGTACTTGAACAAGATGGAGAAGGGTCGTTCAAAAAGAGAAGATGACAATGGGTGGTTCTGGAACGCCTGAAACCTTGAGCGAGGGCAGTTTGGCGGTGGGAGGGGGGGGGAGGGCATACTGCACTTTCGCTCTTTCCCATCGACCTGTCGAGCCAGTGGAGGCCTGTAAAATTTTTTGAAGCAACGAAATGATACCAACTAAAGTGTTAGAAGACTAGCGGTCAACTCTTGTAAAGAGTACTTGTCATTCCTGTAAATTCACGACGAAATTCATTTCATGAGCTAGTTAATGAGCTTACGAGAGTTGACAGGTTTTACCATAGCGGCTGGACCAGCTCGCTCCACCTTTACAAGACTTCACACGTTTCATTACAATGAGACTTGTAAACCAGAACTATTATAGAGAAGCAGGGGAAGAGCAAATGCCCCTCCACGTCGCCAAACTGCGCCCTCCCCCCCCCTCCGCAAATGGGATCACTAATGAGCCCGCGCTCCACCTGAAAGCTTACCCCTTCAAAGGAATTCGTCCTTACTAACAAATTTCTCGTTAAGGGACGAAAACGCTTTGCTCCCCTTCCCTAACCCCATGAAACCCGTTGTAGGCGCAAATTTCTTCTGATGAAAATAAAAAGCGGGTGACATGGCACCTCCTGAGAGCTACAGCGGTGTTTCTCATGCTATAAGTCGTAAAGTGACATGTCACCGACGAAGAATAAATTTAGGAAAAAAGTCAGTGACGTCATCAACAACGAAGTACTGCCCCTGCTTCCCTCCCTCCCTCGAACATTTCACCCTTCCAATTCCCCCACTTCAACACCAAATGCGCCGTTGTTTTACTCGTCATTGGGCTGTGTGCATGTGCCTCCTTCATCGCTCCTTTCCTCTTCTCCACATCGACTCGCTAAAACGCGGCAATTTCGCCCATGGCCATTGCTATTATGGGGAAGGTCTTTGTTGGCTAACGGCTTAGCTCTACGATTTTCACATATTCGCCCATTTCGTTTCCTTTGTTATAGGCGTGACGTCAGCACATCAATACGAACGAGTTTCGCCTGGTTGTGGCGTCCAAGATGGGCATCCTCAATGATCATCACCTCATTACTGACCGGGTAGACTCAATGTGAGTAAGTACAGAACGTTGGCGTGAAAAGGCGGGGGAGAACGGCGAGAGATATGAGGATGAGTTCGTCGCAAAACAATCAGAGATCATGCCGACTGACGCAACTATGCAAAAGTCCTTCGGAGTGCACTCCCGTGGCTATTTTTAGAAGTTTTTCGGGGTGCTTAAACGACCATTTAACGATGGGTGGGGGAATACATGGATCGGCTTCATTCTGACCGGTCAGACGTAACTCAACGGTACGTTACGTCAACTACTCACGCGCAACTACCCACACTCACATAGCTACATTCTAAAGTTCAGGAAACGCCAACGGAAGTTGGGCTTAATCGCGGCGAATTCTGCTGTGGCGCAATTCGAGCCAACACCGCTGGGTCCCGTTGACCAATCGGTTCAAATTTCGGCATTTGAGTGCATAGCGACGTTGTAGCGAGCGTTTCATGTTCCATCCGAAACGCTTAAAACCACTCTTGCTCTTATATTTTTTTTCTAGGAAATACCAAATAGTAATGTTCAACGAACTAGTAAGTTCTTCAAAATCTAATGAATTCGAGCGTTTTATATCAAAGTTCTCTATTCTCATGTTTGCTCACGCGTTAGAAGCAGATGGCTGACGGTAGTCAAACAGTGCCCAGTAGACGCAAACGGGACAAGATCAAAGTGAATAAAAGAAGAGCCCGTTGAACAAATAATAAAATCAACGGACGGGCCGACGACAACGTGAACCGACCACAAAAAAAGGAAACCACCGAAAATTTGTACTACACAGAACAATTTGTAGTGACAAATGAGAAAAAACAATTTCAAAGTAAAAAAAAACGGAAAAAATCAAGCATTTTCTTTAATGCATTACGATTCGAGCATTAATATGCAGCATGTATGACTTACCAGGATTGATACCGATAATTGTGCCTTTTCCGTAGAAACGTGGCACTTTAGGATCGAGCGTATTGAGGAATATTGCAAGGCAAGCAATCCAGAAAGCCGCTAAGCAAGTATAAAAGATGATGTAGAAAACTGTGATTTGACCTGAAAAAAAACGTATCAATTGATAAAAAAATCTGAAAAAAAACTACAAGTAAGTTACAACTGGTAGAGGTACTGAGGAGTAAGTATGCAGCGACCAATGTCTAAGCACGATCGCTAGTCCTAAAAATTTGCTACCCGGCGAGCACAAAATTGGAATTCCTTGTAATAATGCGCATTCAAAAATTGCGTGTTTCCCCGCCCAGTTATTCCTCCCCTGTCAGAATTCATTCCGTTTTTCTTCACTTTTCACCACTTCCTATCTCCTCCTCTCTCTGTACCAGTATTAGAGATGCAAATCTACTTACACCACGATTTTGCCGTTCTGCCAAGAACTGTTCCTCTGTCCTTGTTATAAAGAAAGCGCGAGAAAGATTCATCGTAATCAGCCGCCTTGTTGTTGCCATTCATCAGCTGAAAAATATACTTATTCTTCATAACAAGTACACCTTCAAAGTAAGCAATCTCGATCATCGATTGAACCCAAACTTTTTCACCCCATTTCAATCAGATAAGTTTCATCTATTCCGTCTAAACTGCACATATTAATGACGGCGTTACGCTCGTAAAACCAGATAAGCGCGAAAGAATGCTGGCTGTCAATTGCACACTTTTGGGGTAAAACTGAAAATTTTACTGTAAAAATTATCGGGGTCTAAAAATAGTATTTAGCCGGTTTCCTATCGTACTTGTATCTCAATAACTTCCATGAGCGACGCCATTACACTGTAGTAAAAAAAAACGGTAAACGACTGCGGGATAAGCGATGCACATCGTTTCGGCACATGAATCATACCCGAACATCGACGATGTTAGCTGATTGTCTTTGTTTGGCACAAGTTCAATACTAGGCCCGTATACAGTCAGTACTGCTGAACGTGGAAGGCTTAGGCAGTAAGTGATAAGTCAAAGAGGATAGGATTGAAGGAGAGCACTGAAGAAGGCCATGTATGAGGAGCGACATACGCGAGGCACATGAGTTAGTGGCAAGTGGCACTCCTCGGGGTGTGAATATGCAAATGCAGTCGACAGCACGAAATCTAGGAGCTAACCAACACACATACAAGCATGGCATGGCATTTCTGAGACGGGAATTCTAGGCGACGATTTCACAGTCAGCTTCAATGTCATATGGGCCAAAACTAGCGTCATAAATTATTCAAAAGTGGAAGCGACCATGGAACGCGAAAAATGTTTCTTTCCGCCCGTTGAAGTGCGACAAGAAGGGACAAAAACAACATCAACATTGCATAGGATGTCTAACGAAGAAACGACGAAAAAAAAATTGAAGAAACCAGGCACATAGGGGATGGTAGAAAATGAACTGGTAAACTTACAGTGGTATTTTCCTCTATCGGATTGCCTTTAGCCATGATGATGATGATGTGATGATGTGATGATGATGATCGTAGATGGAGCGAGATGAGGGGAAAAAAGCTGCGAGGAAGAAGTGGAAAAAGAGAGGAGGGAGAAGGACGACGCTTCGCTCCGGCAGTCTACCCAAACGAGAAACTGATGGCCAGCACACACGGCCGCCTGCCTGCAATAAATTTTATTTGGTCAATATTTTTTTTCAACAGCAAATTTCTCTCCATAAGAGCTTTACAAATACGGCACAACGACAAAATCACTCCGAACGGCAAATTACCATAAAATCAACAAATAATTTTAAAACAGTAAATTCTTGAGAGGAAAGTTGAACGAAATAGGAGAAGCTGCTACCCATAGATCTCCCAGCGAGTCGGTCACAATAAACGCCCTCATATATAAAACAGAGAAAGCTGATTTCAAGAACAAAGCTGATTTCACGGACGAATAACTACACTGATTCATCAACTGGTAAAAAGCTTGCCCGATACTCACGTCGTTTTTGGTACCATAACTATTTCGATGGATAAATTAAAAACACCTTGTAAAATACGGCTTAGCAATAAAGCAAGTCACGAAAATTCATTGCACTACTAAAACAATCGATTCCAGGAAGCGCGAGTGAACATATGTTGTCGGGGCCCCCCTCGTCCAGGTGCCACACCCGTGCGACGGGAGATGAGGAAGGAGTCCAGCTTATCGTCGCATGCGGAGGAGCAAGTGCACCCTCTAAAAGACGCCCAGGATACCTCCCTGCCAAAAAGAACAACCCTATTCCGCATTAAAGCCCCTATACCATCAAATACATCATCAATTACCACCCTCAGCATTACCACTAAAATTTACCTTGTGTCAACTACTACACTTAGATCGGTGGCATTGGCAATACTCCCAGTGCTAGACAACCACTTTTCTACAAGTAATTTATCGAAAGCCCAGACAAATCGATCGAGGTAGCCGTTCCGAGCTCAAGAAGTGATGACGCTGGTAGCAGCCGAGCAACTGGCACACATGTCGTTTCCAATTACAATACAGACATGCGGTGATGCCGCGAACAAACGCATCATCATTAAGTAATGACAACATTTACTTTTTACCTCACATTTCAGTACAATAACATAAGTAATACTGTGGCCTGTATCTAATGCCGTAACAGAATGGATCACATAACAGAACTAATACAAGCCGATTGGTGCCGAGCTACGAATTGATGCTGTACAAACTCGACCCACGCTTATCAGTAGAGGTGGAGAAAAGGCTCATCAAAACGGGCAAATGATAACAGAGTAGTTACAAGGGCATTAAACCTAGTCTAAAACTTCCCTTCATTCCTCTATCATACAGTTCAACAGCATAACAGGAGGAAGGAACGAAGGAAATGGAGGACCAGGGAAACCGGAAATATGGAGACAATCCAAAGAAAGCCACTTTTTTTGCAGTAAAATTACTTCCTAAATGTGTGGTATTTGATAGGATTTGTTTGTCTCGGTAACGAAGACCAATTAAATAACTTCAGAAACCTCCCACAAAGCCAAGACTTAAACGGAATTCAAACATGGATGGTCACCCATTGTGCTGCAGTACGCCGACCAGAGGATAACTGACTGTTCTGCGTCATCACTTCTTAAGCTCGGAACCGCTACCTATCGATTTGTCGGACTTCCCATGAATTACTGGCAGAAAAGTAACAGTATAGCACTCAGAGAGTTATTCTGTTATCGGGGATACAAAAAGGGACAACTAAGGATATTTTACTTCAGCCAGACGAGGTCGTTAGATTGAACCTTTCAGTGGGAATGGTCCGACCTTCTCGTGTTCTTCAGAGCCCTAAAAATGGCTCGAAGCTTCCAGTTTGTAGGCTACCCCACCAAAGGCTCTCCCACATTAGCGTGTAGTGTCCCGAACGGGAGTAGGTAGAGATTATCCAGTGGGGAGCACTTTTCGGCCCATAATTCAGACGTCAAACAACACTTGACTATTACAGAAGGATGGTGGAACTTGGGTATCGTAAAAGGTTTCTGCCCTCCCATGCTCTTAAGGAAGTCTTTCTGTTCGAATGAGGCTTTGCTGGGGCAGGTACCTTAACGTTCGACCCATGAACCGTTGCGCGTGGTAAACGGCACCACTTCCACTCCCAGAGTCAAATAACTCTCTGATCAGGGCACGTCTTGCAGCTGGAGAGAAATTTTCGGAAAATACGACCCCCCCCCTTCAATCACCTCCTCTGATGCGAGCCCCCTTCCCATCCTACCTAACTCTTTCCTTGCTTTCCCATTTTCCTACCACCTCTTCTAGTTTCCGGAATTTCCCGAAAATTTTTAGTCGTTGTAAAGAACTTTGGGAGTCGCCAACTAGGAGGATATATAGCACCTGTGAAACGGGAAGAATCGCGAAAAGTCCACAACTGGGAAAAACATTTCGCAACGACTGCAGCTTTCCCTCAGAGGCAAGACGTGCCCCCCTCCCCTCCCAAAAACGAGCAAACATGCCTCCCCCGCTGGGGATTTCCCAGCGTACAACGTGGTCTGTATCTAGTCTACCCGCTGAGATGGAAAGGAACTGTAAAAGGCTGGCTACAACTGCGTAAGTTAATAAAGTGATTTGTCAACCTCGGGAGAGTACAGAAAAGACGATCAATATGTGAATGGAACGATCAGAAATCGGAAATCGGAACGTGGCGAAAGTACGGAAGGCATATTCAAGATCTGAGCAATAGCACTCGGAACTTGGAATGCGCAATATGAATTCACATTGCTCTGTTCGCGCTCCCACACTTCAACACACATTTATAAACATCATCATCGTTGAAACACCAGAGATTAGAACATATGCTCTTGAGGGGGCAAAAGATCATAATGTTGTGTTGAATAGCTTGAATCGGCAAAAGAGCTATCTGGCCGCTGACTCATTGTGCGCGATAGCTTATGGCTTGAGAGAGAGATCGAAGAGGTCGGTCGGTCGCATTTATGAAATGCGATCATTTCAGAGAGAAATGTCAAATGTCGGCATTGTTGGCGTGACAAACGTCAACGCCATTTTTTCCCAAGGGTTGTGAATTCATGGCATTGTGATACAGTTAACCTGCGCGTGGACCAACGAACAAAACTGAACAGAATGGGGCGGAGGGTAAGAGGAGCAGTAGATTGGGTCGAACAAGGCGGCAGCACATTGCCTTCCTTCCAACACTATCAGCGCTCACATCTCTATGCATAAAGGCGCAACATAGCGACAACGATTCAAAACACGCGGAAAGATATGTGTGTTGTTAGGTTCGAATAACCAAGCGATCAGAACTACATAACAGACAAGTAAAATCCGATAAATCAATTTCACACGACGGGCAGTTTGGTGAACAGCTATATGGTGGGCTATATTGCAACAAACGATTTGACGTCGATGAACCACGAGCTGAAAACGATCATCAGCGCCGACAACGAGAGCAAAGCAGTCAAGCGCAACGTAATGCAAGGCCATTGCAATTCTGAAAACGACGAATAGAAAAGAAAAGAGGGCTTTAGACAGGTGAAATAGGGAAACAGTGGTTTTTGGTCAGTGATTTTGGCGCGCAATTTGCTTCCGTTTTCTAAAGCTTTGGAACTTGCCCTGGTAACCAGCATTTCATCAAGGTGCATCTGCCCGACTGATGTGTGCACACACTGGGTGGTGGGGGTAGCATACGGGGCGGGAGGGATGAGGTGTTGGGTTGCCGGGTAAATAATCGCGTTTCGAAAAGTGGGTGATGGGTGGTGAGATGAGGAGGGTGAGCATCATGAGCAACGTGCACTCGAAACAACCAGACACTATTTCTAGCTTAACCCTATGCATACAACTAAACCCTAATTTGACATGATTAATGGCAATTCGGCACTAATATTAAGTACTTCCTTTACCACATGAAATGCTTATAAATGATGGCAACAAAAGAGGTAATAGCCCCGGGAAAGCTAGAGGGACCGAGTGATTGGGTGAGTGGAAAATGTCACTGCTAGAACGTTTTGGGCATTAAAACTAAATAAATGCCCATGAAAGAAAATGCTCAATGT